GCTTTTTTTTTTTTTTTTTTTTTTTGGGGGGGGGGGGGAGGAGAAGATGGCTGATTCTTGAATAGAAGTGAGCTGGTATTCACTGAGGACTGAAGGATCAGCCAGCTAGAGACCAGGGTCCAAAAGCCCATGCAATTAGGAGTATCCATTACCAACCAGCAGAAGACCATGCTGAAGCATATGGCTAGAACCACTGGTTTATTTCAAATCTGCCAAGTAGACAGTAGGCAATCTTTTCCATGAAACACTGCATACAGCTCTCTCAAAGATACTTTAAAAAGACTTTAACCCTTCTTTCCAGTAACCCATCAAACAAGCAGTTTATAACCCTGGAAGTAAATATGGGGAAACTCAATTAATCAGAAATGGACAAAACCCAGTATTTTCCCTATATTTACTGCTAAGAACACAAACTATACTACACCTGAGCTGAGCCTTCAAGAGACACTTGATCTTAGCCAAAAGGCCAATATACCATTAAGTCAAAGCTTATTTTAATGACAGACTCTCCAAGATCCAACAAGTTTTCTTGAAGAGAGAATGGCTTCCCAACTGATAATCACATGCAGCTAAGACACTAAGGCTGCATCCAGCTGAGCACGGCCATGTGGTATGCAGTGCTGCAATCATGTCCTCACATTCAGATGTTCTCTGAGCGGCAAGGGAGTACTGCCCGTGCATGTGCTGCTCTGCTTTTTTTCACCCAAGGATATTTTTGGCCCCTGGTTATCCAGAGGTCAAAAAAACCCATGGGGGGGGGGGAGGGGGGAATCAGAGCAGTGCACACCACTCAAAATTGGAGCTGGGCAACCTGGAGTCACACTGCAGCTGCTGGCAAGGCTTTGTTTGACAGAATTGCCACTGCTGCAGCCCCAGGAGGCCCCCAGGACCCCAGGTAAGGCTGCTGGGCCTAGTTCAGAGAGTTCCCTGGGGACAAGTAGCAGCAGTGCAAGATGCACCAGCACTACTTGTCTCTGGGAAACCAAACATCCGTGAACATGTGGACGACAGCCTAAGAATCCACTTCTAGAAAGCCTGCACATAGTTCTGTTCATAAAAAGTTTCAATTTTGACTCCAGTTTTTGGAAAATGTCAGTCTGTTGAAATGACAGCTTTGTAGATGATTCTCAGGTGCTTAGGCCTAGGATAGCCTTTCTGGCTCAGTTGTGTTCCAATGCAGAAGAGAATAATGTTTTGAAATCTCATACATTTTCAAAGACAACAATTTCTTTTCCAGCTCCACACAAGTACATTTATGGTAACTAGGTTACCCTTGACTATACTATACTTACTCCTAACCCCACAGACACTTTTCCTATGGACCAGTCTTTCTCTGCTCTTTTGAGAAACTTTTCTGTGACCTGCATCCCACCCCACAGAAATACTCACTAGTGCTGCTGTGTTTACAGGGATTGTCCTAATGGAAACACCCTCACTGTGCTTTTCTGGCCAACCTGGAGATACTCCAGTGCTTCCCAGAGCCCCCCCCAAATCTGGTTTCTTCTGGTCATAGTCACTTGGGTAATTGCTTGTGCAGTTGCCCACTACAAAATTTTGCCCATAAGGAGAAAAATCTCAGTGTGTTCTCAGTAGCTCCACAAGAAAGGCCATTTCCTCAACACCTTCCTGATGCCCAGCTTGCCCATCTGCTACTTAGCAGAGACAGGGAGTTAGCTGTATTAGTCTGAAGTCTACCCTACCTTTTATCCACTATTCAGCCATCCTTTGTGGCATCTTTGTGTTTTTCTATGCTTTCCTCACAAGGGGGAGTTCACAGGGCCTCCTGAGTCTGCTTTCATGCTGCTGCCCTCTGGGCTGCAAGTACAGAGATCCTCCAGAATTCAAAATAGACACAAAGATGGAGACAACCTACTGCCCCAAGTCTCCTCTCAGAGATAATGGAGGAGAAAGGCCCGAAAAACTGTCTTGGGGAGGGAGCAGCATGCTGGAAGAAAAGGCAGCTGCTGTCTGCAGCTTCTAATCCACGCAGGAACAGAGATCTCTGCCTGCAGGCATGGAAGCTTTACACATTAGCTGCCTTCCCTTACTGCTCATGAAGCTGCATGAACACAAGTAAATAAGCTCTACATACATTTTCCTTTTCTGGGGTACTTTTAGAATTTCAAGAGAAGGAAGATATCAAGTGATTTTGCAATTAACAAACATTGCCATAAAAATTCTCAAATTCCCACAAAACTGACTACAGTAAAATGTAGGTCTGAATTCACCAGAATGTTCATGACGTCTTGTTTGTGCTACAAAATGCAACAGTTTCCACCTCTCTGTTCACTGTGCAACATGTTGCATGGAATTAACATTGATTTAAGAAAAGCAGCACTGGCTATAAATAAAGACATCTCATTTTTGCGGGGGGAGAGGGAGTTCAGTATTCCTGACATGAGTAAATGTAAGTCATAACTTCTACTAAATGTTGCCTTTACACATTTCACAGCAACATCACCAAATAGCAGCGAAGTATCAATTGAAAAAACTGCTTTAAGTCACAATGTGCACAAAGAGCTACCATTTAGAGCATAACATATGCTCAGCTGTGGTACACATGGTAGAGCCAGCATCTTAATCAACTCCCCATAGTTTGCAGCATGAAAAATCAAACTTATGAGAGCTGAGACAAGACAACTCCCATCTACATAATTCAGACCTGGATTACATTAACCTTTTTACTTTGTAATGTGGGTTTGGCAGGAGAAAGACAAAAGGCACCCCCCCCCCCCCCCCCCTTTTTGGTGGGGTGTTTTTGAAAGGGATTTTTTGGGAAACCCGGAGGAAATTTT